TTGGGGCCATTTGCTAGCATGATTAGCTATCCTTACTTGCCTACAAGCTATACATATTTGCCATCTACTTTCCAACAGGCATTTGGCAGTGGTAACAGCACGGACCATCAATCTCTGGCAGCAGCAGCAGGGCTTCCACAATATAAGAATAATAATGTTTCTGTTAACAGCCTGCCTCAGTCTGCTGCTATTGTTTCTGGGTATGGTGGCTTTGGAAGTTCGACTTCCATTCCAAGTAACTTCCCACCTGCTGCTCCTGGGCCCACAACCATCGGATATGATGACATTTTAAGCTCTCAGTACAAGGACGGCAATCATTCAATCTCTCTTCAGCAGGTACCTCGCATTTAAATAAGGACATTATTCTTGGAAAAATAAAACAAAGACAAAATATTAAGTTGCCTCTGATTCTTCAACCACATTTGTCTATGTGTGTATAAAGGAAATAAATAGTTAATAGATTGATGTGTTTCAATAGTTATTAAATTTATGGTGAACAATTATTATTTTTGTACAGCCTTTAAATGTTTTTGCAGCATTAATACATATACACCAAGAAGCACGGACATGAACACTGATGTGGCATTACACTAAGAAGCATGGACACAGATATTGACGTGACATAAAACGGACATGAGGACAAATTTTCTAAAATTATAGGACACGACAAGCTAGAGACTCGTGCTAAACATATAATTTTATATATTTATTGTATGTCATATTTGTTAATATGATGTATTTATTTTGTGTAATATTTTATCTTATCAAATTCATCAATCTCGGGTATGCTATTCTGGTGGGAAAAATTAAAGAAAAGGAGACTGTCTGCAGTGTGTCAACATGTCCCAGTGCGTCAAACACATGTGGACGCCTGTACATAACCTCTGTAAAGTTGTCCGTGCTTCATAGTATGTGTGTGTGTTTGTTTTTCCCCTCTTTCCTTTGTTGTTTCCTTTTGGAACTCATGAAAATTTTAATTTGATCCTTCCCCTTCTTTTGAGTAGAATGAAAACTTGGCTATGTGGGTTCATGGGCTTGGTTCCAGAATAATGTCAGCTGTTCCAGCCAGCACATATTACAGCTTCCAGGGACAGAGTCAGCAGGGTTTCCGGCAAACTCAGCAACCTTCCCAGAGTTACGGAGCTCTTGGGTATCCAAATTTCTACCATTCTCAGTCTGGAATTTCACTAGAACATCAGCAGCAGCAGCAAAACCCTAGAGATGGTCCCCTTGGTGGCTCTCAAGGCCAACAACCTTCTAAGCATTCCCAACAAATATGGCAAAGCAGCTACTAATTTCTTCTCATCACCCTCTTGGTTTTTCAGGGTCTTGTAATGAGTTTGAAGTGGCCGATCAAGGCAAGATCATTCCTGCGGTTGAACAATTTAAAATTTATAAATGTCCTGAAGAGAATCTGCCTGGTTGCTGCCCTGTGCCTCGAGGTTGCATTTTTACATATTTATTTGCTGGTTTAATGTAATGTAGGAAGGAACATGTGTGCTAATTTGAATTAGTGAACATTTTTCTTTTATGTTTTTCAATTTTCCTTCTAAACTTAATTGTTTTTTCCTTGATAGTGTGAAGCTGTGTTCTGTTCACAGGTGAGTTTCATAGAGTTCTAATGTTTGTGTGGTTTGGTTGCCTCTTTTAACTGTTCTTTCCCTTGTTCCCGGTACTAGCTAACTGAGATTAATGTAAAATGTTTTCTTTACGTACCAATTGTATTGCAAAAATGCTAGACTCCAAATGAATTATTATATTCTACACAATACTTGCGTGAGTGTGGGATTCTCACACCGCATGGGATCAACGCCCATTAGTATTGTGTGTAGAATATTTGGTGTTCCCTAGCATTGTTCGTTATATTGTAAGCATTTCTTTGTTCTTTTGCATAAGAGTTATTAGCAATTTGCAATTGGTATGGTGCCGTTCTGCATGTCTAAGTCAACCTTGGGAGAGGGATTGTTGGTTGTGTTTAAGTGACTTTGTTCCAAGTTGTCACAATCAAAATAAGAGGCTTAGAAAAATGCTTGTAACAATGAAGATAGGGTTAATTACACTTCATACCTTCACATTTTTTACCAATTCTATGCCATGCGGGGCGTGCGTTGGGTGATGGGAGAGGGTGGCGTTGCAAGTGGGCGACAGGAGAGGGAGAGGCAATGGCCTTAAGTCTAGAGGTGGTGGTGGTGGGACTGTTGAAAGAGGTGAGCAAATAATAGAAAATGGGTGGTTGTGGAGTGTTTAGAGCATCTGCGATGCATTCACCAAAACGCACCTTAACTACGTTATTGCACATTTTTAAATTAAAAAACACTTAACAAACAAAATTAGACTTTGCTTTTACCCCTTTTGTCATTTAGTACATTTTAACACAAATTTAACCATTGGATATGCTCATTGAAAAAATATAGTAGAGATAAGAAAGAAATTTACATTTTCCTTTCATTCCTTTAGCTTAGAAATGTAACACTTTGTGCTCCTTGAGTTAATGGGATTGCGGTTGACTATCTTATTATTATAATTAGAACCTCATTGATTGACATTTGAGTATTGATTGGTGGGGTGATGTGATGGTAGAGTAGAATGGAACAAAAAACCTTGATTAGAATAACCGTCCTTTGAGTAGTCATCACTCTATTACCATTTTCTCTCTCTACACTTTGAATTTTGATGTAAAACTAGAACCATTCGAAAACTTATTTTCGAGGTTTCGATTTAGATATAAGAATGACCCAAAACGGAGTTCGAACGAGAAAGTTATGTCCGGTTTGAAGTTTGCATACCTGAGTTGTAGGGAGAGATTCTGCAAGTATTGATTCATTGCTCGAGTGCACATTTGACCACTTGAGCAGTCTGTTTGTGAAAGTAGAGATACTGCAAGCCTTCATTTACTGCTCGAGCTTAGATTTAATCGCTTGAGCAATCTGTTTGAAATAAGCGCATTTAAATTACCTTTTTCGTCAGATTTCTTATCTCTTATCACTTATTTTCACTCCCTCTTTTCTCTCTTTCCTCCATTTTTGAACCACCAAGCTCTTCAACCTTGGATTTTATCTCATTTTTGATAAATCTACCCTTAGTTCTTGAGGCAAACACGCAGAGCGTATTGAGATTGACATTTTGAACCGATTAGATCAAATTTTCATCATCGTTAAAGTTTGGGTCTTCACTTATTCACTTTCATCTTTGAGGTAGGAGTTCTCTTAATCCTCTATATCTATTGTGAGAATCAGAAAATCCTCTCATATGGATTGTTGATGAGATCCAACGAAGAGATGAGCTTCGCTCCTGTAGATTTGCAAGGATGAGCATGATCAGCGCCACCCAATCGGGGTTGCCGGTTAGAGACACTCCAATGATAAAGTTAGCCAAAATAGATCAAGGAGAGAAGATGAAGATTTAGAGAGTGTGTGTGCTCTGTGACAGGGAAAATGAGGCATACATGTTGTGTATGGGGTCATCTCCCTTTATAGGGGATGGACAATATTTGTTTAGGATATTTTGCCCCTATAGCTGGGATATTTTTTTGGCTCCCACAATAGCCCCAAAACTTTCGTATGTGCAAGGCATATTAGTGAGTGTAAGAGTTAAGGGTAAAATCCGTTCAGTTTAATTTTATAATTATGATTTAAGTGTGAAATTGTGATTTTAAGTGTGGAGTTGTGAGTTCAATTTTAAAAAAAATAAAAATTTATTTGGTTATGAGTTTTGAAAATATTTTTGAGTTTTTGAGTTTTGAATTTTGAAAATAATTTTGAGTTTTGAAACGAGTTTTAAGTTGTATTTTGAGTTTTAAGTTTTTGAATTTTGAGTTGTATTTTGAAATTTTTTGAATTTATTTCTTTTAAATATTTAAAAACGCTTAAGAAAAATTTATTTTTCATTTTAAATATTTTATTTCATTTTTGTAAATTTTTTAAATTCAAAACACAACTTCACACTCAAATCATAAGCAAACACATAACTCTAAACTCAATTCAAAAACTATTTTTAAAACTCATAACCAAACACATAACTCAAAACTCAATTCAAAAGCTTTTTAATCAAAATATATTTTTTATTTTTTTATTTTATTGAAAAATATTTTTTGTTATTTTTTTAAGTATTGGCCAAATAATTTGTTATGGTTTAGATATAGGGAAAATTGGTCTAAGGTCCCTCTCCCAATTTTAGTAATGGAAGAGATCCACAATATTATATTATGATGTCTAAGGTTCCTCAACTTCCACACCAATATATCACAGAGAAAATTAACTCTCTCAAGTCAATCCTTATGTCGAAGTGACACTTGACCTTCAAGACGATGACACGATCGTGCTCCGCAGTGTGGAGCTGACAACGATCCTCAACATCGACCGAGAGTTTGCCTTCTTCGGAGGAGCGGACACTTTGCCCGCGTCGGCGTCGGCGTCCGCCTCTAGTTCACGGTCTCTGACAATAAGGTGGAGTTCGTTGAATCGTCTCCTTCAGTTCTCGCAAGGGTTGAAAGCAGAGGCGGTTGCAAAAGCGAAGCATTTCTTTCAGGAGTTGAAGGCGGAGTTGAAGCGGTTCTCGTGGAGTCACGGTCATGCGTCGCGTTTAGCGATTCAAAAAGTTCTCGTAGTAGAAGGTAGCAACGGTCTGGACTTCTTCGCTTTGGCCATCCAATTTTTTTTGAAATTAAAAAAAACCTCTTAGATATATATGGCCATCCAAATTTTTTTTGAAATTAAAAAAAATTAAATATTTTAAAAAATAAAATCATGATTTTAAAACATAAAATAAAAAAAATATTTTTTAAAATTTTTCTTTAAATAAAATTTTAAAAAGAGTTTGGTTATAAATTTTGAAAAAAAATTTAAATTAAATTTTGAATTGTGTGTTTAATTATACATTTAGAAAAGAATTTTAAATTTTTTTTTTATTAGAATTACAATTTCAAAAGAGTTTAGTTATTAGAATTTTTAGGGGTGTGTTTGGACAACGGCTATATTCACCACCGCCCCCACCCAACGGCACATTTCTCTCACAAAATTGCAACGGAGACAAATGTTCCCCTTACATTTTTTATCCTCCTGTCTCTCTCTCTCTCTCTCTTAAAAAATCTTGAAGGAGACTGTGAGCAGTGGTGACTGTGAGGAACAAGCACAAGGAAGACTTGAAGGAGACACTTGTAAAACATTTGGATGCTCTCACCGACAAGATCGGAAGGAATGTTGTGTTGCAGCTTGTTAGCACCGATATGGATCCAAGTATGCCCCCATTCTCTCTCTCTCTCTCTCTCTTAAAAAATCTTGTCAATTTTTATTTTCCCCCAAACGAACAATTTTCTAGGAAAAAAATGAAAAAAATGTTCAGAAATTAAATTATGAGAACCAAAATCATTATAGGTGTTCTGATCATGAATTATATATATATATATATATATATATGTATATTTGTAGTATCAAGATTTTTTATTTTTTTGTTTTTGAAATTATTACACACCTTTCAATCCAACCAATAATGATTGATCTGATATTTTATTTTCTTTCCTCTTTTCTGGGTTGATCTGATTATGTGTCTTTACTACAATAACAATATGAATTTTACTGAATTGGTTTTTTTTTGTGATTGATGATGATGAGCAGCAGTACCGTGAGAACCCCTCCTCCTCCTCCTCCTCCTTAAGCCGTCGGGCCAGTTTGGTTGAGAGGAAATCGCTTCTTCCTGCTGTGGCGGTATCCACCCGGATGTCATCTGCGCTGATTCGGCGGCTGGGGATTGGGAGGTCACGGCTCAGGTCCAGGGATTTCAAGAACATGTCCATTTTCGCCACAATTGACAAGGTTAGTAATTTTACATACATAATATGTGCTATATATTTACATATATACATATTAATTGTACCATGTTAGAGTTGTGCCGGCTTTTGTGATTGATTTTTGTGAAAATAGAACTGCTCTTTAAAATGCCATTGTTAGTGAGCCCCTCTTTGATTCGCACCATTTTGAATTTTTTTTTTTTCTTTCTTTCTTTCTTTGTGTCTGAAGGCAGTTTGCAAGTATCTTTTATCTATGTCTTGGCTGTTTAATTATCAGTGTTAAGTATTTAAGAGCTTAGTACATGATGTACATCGAATTCTGTTTTTTATTTTTTTAGCAAGAGAAAAAAAGCTCGAGATATATATTGCATGAGAAGAACAACATGCTTTGTCCTCTTTCTGATAACGAAGTCTATTTATTTCATTCATGAAAGCCATTGACTTCCATTCTTAAATGAATGATCAAGTTATGTTGGCTTTTATATTAGTGGGAGTTTTCAGAGGCCAACTGTTAATGGTGGACTGTGGAAGCATATGTGCCTTTGTTATTGATCTGTCTGATGTAACTCATGCTGTATTTCCATTTGCATATGAAGTTGGCAATTAAGATGTAGTGACTTGTGACTCCTCATCCTTGTGTTGTTTCGTAAATAATCCCACATTTGGTACTGCAAAAGTTGCTCAGAATAGCTAATCCCACGTGATCCCTTTACCTACATATGAGTGATTATTTTGTCCTAGGGGTGGGATAGTTAAACCGGGGATAACTCTTTTGCATGTGAATGACTAAAATGCCTTCGACTGGCTTACACATTCGGGGGTATCCTATCTGCCTAATCCAAACCGAAATCAAACATAGCCGGTGTAAAGTGGTGACTGTGCTCCTTTTTTTGGCACCTTTCTAATATATTTACTTATTAAAAAAAGGAGGGAATAAGAAAAAGGAAGAAAGAAATGGGCCGGAGTCTTCAGTGATTTGTTTTTGGTGATGCATCTAGGAGCACAACAGGAAAATCTTTAATGGAGGTGTAGTTTTTATTTTGGAGTCGAAACATTTGATATTGAGCCCTTTTTTGGATTACTATTAGGAATCTCTCTCTCTCTCTCTCTCTCTCTCTCTCTCTCTCTTTGATAAATACTATTAGGAATCTCTTTCTTTTGTTTCTTGATTGATTTGCCGGAAGAATTTAGCTTATGGGTTGATGTATAGTTTGGCCTTTTTCCCTCGTATGTAATTTTTGCCCGGGATTTCTCCTTGTGTCTCGTTCTAGATTTTATCTACTAGGAAGAGGAAAATGCTCCTTCATTATTCCCCCTTGAGATACAACATGAACAAAATAAAGTTGGTTGTCTTAAGGCTGGTCATGTTGAATTCTTAGACTATTTAATCTTGGATTAGAAAACTTAGGCTGTTATTGATTTAGTAGTACTGGAGGGCCAACATCAATCATTATATTCTCCTATGTGTTGGAGGGCTAACAAGAATTTGAATCAAATGGAAATTGATTGGATGGGATTTTGGTGTGTTAAGAAGTTGATGTACAAATGCCTAGGAGGACTAGCTCCAACATCACAATTGAAGAAATAATACCTATTGGGAGCAAATATCAATCATTTTATTCCTCCTTTGTGTTGCTTAGCAAAATCATAGAAGAAATAATAATCCATATTGGGAGCAACTAGAATGGAAAGAACCCTCCTTGTGTGACTTGACTGCTTAGCAAAATCAGAGAAGAAAAAATACATATGAAAGCAAGTCAAATCTAAATAAAAGTTGTTGCTGTGGAAAAAAAACTTAATATTCCACTGTATCAAATAAAGGATTACATTCACCCTTTTATAGATGATAATACTCATCTAATTTATAGGGATATTTACAACTTACCTAGAATGGAATCAAACTTATCTAAAACAGAAAGCAATAAAACAGGAAACTCTTATCTACAAATTTGATAACAAACTACTAGAATCCCCTAAAATCGTGGGACCAAATAATGATCTATTAGCTATAGATTTCCTCAATCTTAGCCACTAATAATGCTGACAGATCATCAAACTAATTAAATCTTCCAATAATTCTACACTCCCCCTCAAGCTGGACGGTAAATATTTATTAACCCCAGCTTGGAACTCAGATCATCAAACGTCTTTCTCGGGCTGTTTGCAGACATGTGGGCACGTACATCATCTTGATTGTCCCTTCTTCTATCTTCTCCTTTATGAAATGTCGATCAATCTCCACGTGTTTTGTTCTATCATGCTGTACTGGGTTCTTGGCAATGCTGATTGCTGACTAATTATCACAAAACATTTTCATAGTTTCTTCATCTGAAATTTTTAATTCCTTTAGCAACCTTCGTAACCATAGTCCCTCACAAATGCCATGTGCCATTGCCCTGAATTCAGCTTATGCACTGCTCCTTGACACCACCGATTGCTTCTTACTTCGCCATGTAACAAGGTTACCCCACACATATGTGCAATACCCTGAAGTAGATCTTCGGTCTTGTACTGATCCTGCCCAATCTGCATCACTGAATACTTCAATATCTCTTCTTTGATTCTTCTCAAAAAATAATCCTTTACCTGGTGTTAGTTTCAAGTATCTTAGGATTCTATACACTGCCTCCATGTGTTCTTCATTTGGATTATTCATGAATTGACTTACCATGCTAACAGAAAAACCGATATCTGGTCGGGTGTGAGATAGGTATATAAGTTTACCAACAAGTCTTTGATATCTGCCTTTATCCACTGGTGCACAATTTTCCTTAGTTCCTAGTTTGGTTGTTGAATCCATAGGAGTATCAGCCGGCTTGCATCCGAGCATTCCAGTCTCTTTTAAGAGATCCAGGACATATTTTCTTTGGGAGACAGAGATTCCCTTTCTTGACCTTGCGATTTCCATGCCTAGGAAGTATTTGAGATTCCCAAGGTCCTTGATTTCAAATTCTGTAGCTAGAAGACTTTGGATAGTGCAGATTTCCTCCTCATAATCTCCTGTTAGAATTATGTCATCCACGTATACAATGAGGACAACAAGTTTTCCTACAGGAGAGTGTTTAACAAATAGAGTATGATCCGTCTGACATTGAGAATAGCCATGCCTCTTAACTACCTTTGTGAATCTCTCCAAGAGATTACCTTTGTGAATCTCTTGGAGATTGCTTGAGCCCATATAGAGATCTTCTAAGTTTACAAACTTTGTTGCATGTAGTTTGTGTCTCAAATCCTGGAGGAATTTCCATGTAAACTTCTTCAGCTAGGTCTCCATTTAGGAAGGCATTCTTGACGTCTAGTTGATGAAGAGGCCAATCAAGATTTGCAGCTAAAGATAGTAGAACCCGAACTGTGTTTAACTTGGCTACAGGGGCAAATGTCTCCTCATAGTCGATTCCATATGATTGGGTGAATCCCTTGGCAACCAGCCGTGCCTTGAATCGATTAATACTCTCATCTTCATTATATTTGACTGTGAATATCCATTTGCAGCCTACTGGACGTTTTCCAGTTGGTAATTCTGAGATTTCCCAGGTTCCATTCTTTTCAAGCGCATGTATTTCTTCATACACGGCTGATTTCCACTTAGGTGAGCCAAGGGCTTCTTGTATGTTATTGGGAACCTGGATGTTGTCGAGGTTGGCAACAAATGATTTGAACTTTGGTGACAGTCCTTCATATGACACAAATGTGTATATAGGGTGTTTTGTGCATGATCTTACACCTTTTCTCACAGCAATAGGAATATCACTATCATCATTAGTTAACTCACTATGTGAAGTCTCGGGATTAGAGTTACCTGATGGATCTTCACTTGATCTAGGACTTGGATCAGATTCTTGGGCTTGCTCAGGAGATGCTTGTTGTTCCATCTCCTTTTGGTTCCTTCTCCTCCGTGAGTAGGTAATCAACTCATCATTCTTTGTTAATTGAATAGTGTCCAGATTTTGAGGTGGATTAATAGGAACAGGCAGATTGTTGGTTTGAGCTTGAGAAGGAGTTTCTAGGAAGAGATGTTGAAGAGGAATGGATTTAGGATTCAGTGATGGGCAAAATTGGTCAGAATTAGGAGAAAGGTGAGATGATTCTTCAATATCCCAAAGCTGGTATTCCTGGACAAAATTAGGCTCCCCCTGAATATCAGATTTGGGATAATAAGGCTGGTACTCAAAAAAGGTGACATCCATGGAGTAATAGTATTGTTTAGTGACCGGAGAGTAGCACTTATATCCCTTTTGAGTTGGAGAGTACCCAAGAAAAATACACTTAAGGGCTCTAGGATCAAGTTTATCCCTGTGTTGTTGATGGACATGAACAAAAGTTGAGCACCCAAAAACTTTGAAGGGGATAGTGGAGATGAGACGGGTATTGGGAAGGGACTGAAGTAGGATTTGACAGGGAGTTTGAAAGTTGAGTATACGAGATGCCATCCTGTTTATGAGATATGCCGCAGTGAGGATGGCTTCACCCCAGAAAAATTTTGGTACATGGGTAGAGAACGTAAGGGAGCGTGCAACATCTAGAAGATGCCTGTTTTTTCTTTCGGCAATTCCATTTTGTTGAGGAGTGGTTCACACAGGAACTTTGGTGAACTATAACGTGACTCAAGAGATAATCATTAAGGATGGATTTGAAATATTCTTTGGCATTGTCAGTTTTCAAAATCTGGATTTTTGCTTGGAATTGTGTTTGGATCATGGTGTTGAAGTTTTTGAAAATCTGACTTGCCTCTGATTTTTCTTTCATGAGGAAGACCCATGTAAGTCTAGTGTGATCATCAATAAAGGAAATAAACCAGCTAGAACCAGTAACATTCTTGATTCTAGATGGACCCTATACATCACTGTGAATCATTGAAACGGGTTGAGATGCTTTGTAGGATTGATTGGGATAAGAGTTACGAACATGTTTAGAAAATTGACAAATCTCACACTGAAACTCATTTGGATTTTTATTATGGAATAGTGAAGGAAACAACTTCTCAAGATACAAGAAATTTGGATGACCTAACCTATAGTGCCACAACATAATTGCACTATCATGATTAGAACGACTAACAGAAAAAGAACTAGGACTATTGGACACTGAACAATCAGATTGGTGAGTTGCTCCTTGAAAAGGATCATTAACCTCGAGAAGATAGAGCCCCGAACACATCTTAGCACTGCCAATCATCTTCCCCGAGTCCAAGACCTGAAATTCACACAAATTTGAGCCAAATTTAGTAACACAATTGAGATCCCGAGTGAGTTTACTAATGGACAGTAAATTGCAATTTAAATTTGGCACAAGAAGAACTGAGGCAAGTGTGATGTTTTCTGAAACTCTAACAGAACCTATACCAGCAACCTTTGAGAGTGAACCATCGGCTATCCTGACAGTTAAATTTTTAGAACATGGACTATAAGTAGAAAAAATCTTCTCATCTCCAGTCATATGATCCGATGCCCCTGAGTCTATAATCCATGGACTTAGCTTCTCCTTTTTAACATTGAGAGCACTTAAGAAATTACCTTTGTGTGCCAAGGAACCGATACCAACCACAGTGGGGGCAGTGGCAGGCAATGATTGGCTGAACAGTTTCTGTAATACTTCTAGTTGTTCCTTGCTGAAGGGAATGGGTTCGATTGATGGTTTTTCATCCACCGCGACGAGATTGCCCCGTCCTTCTTTGTCATTGGCAAACCGGGAAGGCTTCCAATCTGCAAGTTTACCATGGATTTTCCAGCAGGTGTCCTTGGTGTGACCAGAACGTCGACAATGATCACACCATGGCCGTCCTTTCTTTGGTCTGTTGTCATTGTTGTTGTATGGATTTCCTCCAACTACAAGGGCTGAGCTCTCAAGATTTGTCACAGATTCTTGAGAGCCCATCATGATCTTCTTTTGACTCCCCTCTCTACGAACTTCTGAAAGTGCTTCTCGGATATTCAGCAGTGGTTTGGATCCTAAGATTCTCCCTCGGACTTCATCGAGATTCTTATTTAATCCAATCAGAAATTTGTATATTCTTTTCCGTTCAATAATCTGTCTATACCTGATTCCATCGTCAGGACAGCTCCAATTGTGCTCCTCTAACAAGTCCAGCTGTTGCCAGTAGCGGTTGAGTGTGTTGAAGTACTGAGTCACCATTAAATCTCCTTGGCGGAAGTCATGGAGAACACTTTCCACCTCGAACAATTCAGATGTATTCTCATTGTTAGAATACGTTTCCTTAGCAGCTTCCCAAATCTCCTTTGCTGTTCCGTAGAGAAGAAAATTTTCTCCAATGTCATTTGTCATGGAATTAATGAGCCATGACATGACCATGTTATTTTCAGAATTCCAGAATTTGAACTTCTCATCATCCTTGTTTGGTTTGGCAGCAACTCCATTGAGATAATCGTCTTTTCCCTTTCCGCATATGAACATCATTACGGAATGGGACCATTGGAGATAGTTGTTCCCATTCAGTTTGTGTCCTGTAATGGGCATGAGGTTACTATCTGCACTACTGTTGCTGGAAGCCATGGCTTCTTGATTGTAGGTGATTTGGGAAACGAAAGAGTCACTTCTGCCGTATTTGGTCATATGAGGGAATTAGGGTTCAGAGAATGCTCTGATACCATGTTGCTGTGGAAGAAAAACTTAATATTCCACTGTATCAAATAAAGGATTACATTCACCCTTTTATAGATGATAATATTTACAACTTACCTAGAATGGAATCAAACTTATCTAAAACAGAAAGCAATAAAACAGGAAACTTTTATCTACAAATTTGATAACAGACTACTAGAATCCCCTAAAATCGTGGGACCAAATAATGATCTATTAGCTATAGATTTCCTCAATCTTAGCCACTAATAATGCTGACAGATCATCAAACTAATTAAATCTTCCAATAATTCTACGTATAAAGAAAAATCTTGGCCGCAATATATCCAATTTTTTATAGGAAAACTTTTGACTTGAAGGATAGCTAAGGGACAAGCTTGAAAGAAAAAATATTCCATTGTATGAAAATTGTGAGTTTTCAATCAACTTTGTTTCCATCTATTAAAAAACTGATATCTCAAGTGGAAGCAGACACCCAATCTATTAAAAAACTGAGATCTCAAGTGGAAGCAAACACCCAATCTCTAGGGATTTTCATGGCTCGAGTAGTGGCCAACGATTTTGCAAATTCTAAGGTGGTTTTAAATTGGATTTTGTATGGGATTGGTCTTCAAGTCATCTCATTTATAAATACTCGTTCCATCCCCAACTGTTTGTCAATTTTCAGCATTTATGCCTTTTAGTAGGGTCAATAAATAATGTATTTTTTTCCCTACTCTGGCCTAGTAGACCCTTGTGAGGGTTGTCCTAGCCTCTCTTTATGTATTTCGGCTCCTGTGGATGAGTGTTTGTGGGTTGCCCATCTTACTATCACAAGATTTTGGCCCCCCGATGGACTATTTTCAAGCTTAGGAATTGATTAATATGCGTTTTACATCACTTTAATACATTTCAAGTTTGTTTTGGTGATTTCCTAGTCAATGGTGGATCGTGTTTAATTTGTGGTGAATTCACAGAGTATCATGGATGCTTGATACTCTACCAACCATTCAGGAACAAACATCACCAATTTCCAGTGGTATAACAAACATGGTAACAAGTTTTAGGATTCAACACCTAAGGCACATGAACTGGGTTAGGGTTGGGTTGTTTCTTTTTTTTTTTTTTTTCCCTTACTAATGGTGAATTGGTTGGCTACGGGGTCCTGTGGTTTTTGTCCATTTTGATTTTCGACAGGAAGAAGCAAAAAAGAAAAGAAAAAGGGAATCCTTTTGTGTCTAATTGATTATTATATTGATTGCAGAATTGATTGGCATAAAGCAAATTTGTACTGGTTTAATTGAATAAAATGAACAATTCATAATCTCTGTCATGTTATGTTATCAATCCTAAGCAAATTCTTTTCCATTTTGAGGGCTAAATCTCCTCTAGACCTTATTCAAGTGCCAAACAACATTTTAAGTGTGAAGCATTAGCACTTTATCTGAATCACTAGATCTTTAGCATTGTCAAATTAATTTTTGATTTGAAATGTTACTGCAATAGTCATTTGACCAAAAGATGTGAAATAAAACCCTGTTTATAGATGAGGGCTTATTAGGGTTATATTTTAAGCCTGGCTAAGAAGGATTTATACAAGTCAACTAAAATTTGGGATATACGTAGATCATGGGATATACGTAGATTTTGTTCTCTAGGAATGGCACTATATAGTTACCAAAAAGCATGACATTTTGCATTTCAACTGCAGGAAACTTTCACCAGAGTAAATGTTCCCATAGAGTGGCTGCTATGATTTTTTCCACGGCGAAGCATGGCTAGTATTAAGGGCGATACATGTTAGATTAGCACAATGTAAGAATGGAGTTAATAATAAAGGCTTCCTTTAGGAAAAACTAAACCTAGGTGTTGGTCAGCATGCAAACGGAAGGCTGTATACACTCACAAGACTTTAATCCTAAAGAATCAAAATTGATAAGACCTAAAGCACATACCTACTACATCAAGTGTTTTGGGAAGGGTGAGATTAGAAATCAGATAGAAAATTCATTTTGCTTTTTTTGGTTAGGTAAAATTCATTTTACTTATAGTTAAAAGAGATTGAAAATTTGAAAGTACACGTTTTCTTTTGATTTATATCATTATCGTTGTCATGCTGATTGCACCAGCATGTGACTGTCATTACATTAGATAGTAGGATTGGCTGTGGTACGCCATCACTGCCGCCACTCCATCACCATCATGATTTCATCAACTATTGGAATAGTTGCTATTTGCACCTTGAGATTCATTAAATTATTGTGAACTGTAGCAGTTCAATGTCAACTTAATGTTTAACTGTGAATTGCCTCTATTTATTTCTTCATTTTATTGATTACTATTATTAGTTTTTTTTTAATTTTTTCTTTTCATGTAGACGTGGCGTAAAACAGTTGACAGGGCTTCAAAGGTCTTCTTGGAGATGCATTACAACCAGCACAAGCGCTTGACAAATGATATTGCTTAGACCAAGCTATTTCACACTGTGGAAATTTTTATCTGACCTGGGGTGTTGGGAAGGAAGGTTTGTGCACTACTAGCGTCTAACTTATATTTACTTATTCTTGTATATGTATCTTATCACCACAGCAAAATAATTGTTGTATTTTGTGTCATACAAATTAAGTTTTTTGCCCTCAAAGTTGTCTTTTATGGAGCTGTGATTTAAATTGGTCATCCAATTTTCCCATTATGATTTATAAAATCCAGTAAACATTTTGTTGTGGAAATTTTTATCTGACCTAGCGTGTGGTAGAAGGAAAGCTTGGTCCTTGTGCGCTTCTAGCATCCAACTTATATTTACTATTCTTGTATAGGTATTTTTATCACCACAACGAAATAATTGTTGTATTTTGTGTCATATAAATTAAGTTCTGCCCTCAAAGTTGTCTTTTATGGAGCTGTGTGTGACTTTAATTTGATTATCCACTTTTCCCATTCTAAATTATAAAATCCAGTAAACATTTTGTTGTTGGTAAGCAATATTGATCTTGTGACAACCCTGTTAATCATTGGTTTTGAATGTTATTTAAGTGCTTTGTGTGAATTTGAATGCTTATTATGTGTTTAATATGATTTTTAGGTTCATATCCGTTAACCGTAGGAATATCTGTTGTGATTTCGGTTATAATCTGAAATTGAAGGCCTTAATGACGTTAGAAGTTTGATTAATGACGTCAGAAGTTTGATTAAATCAATTAAATTAAGCCTTGATTAATTAGTCTTAAGCTCTATTTAACTAACTTGATCCCTAATTAAGGCCCTAAGCTAATCTATGAGAAATGTTAATTAATCTCATTTAGACACAAAAATCTGCCGACAATTAAGTTTGGAGAGAGGAAACTCAATTTTAGAGAGAAGAGCTTGGAAGCTTGGAATTTTGCTTGAGAATTGAAGAATTGAGGAAGACAATTTAAGAAATTGCTAGAATTAGTGTTCTTGAAGACTTTAGGTATGCATTTAATTCTGAATTCATGAACTGAAGTCGAAAAAGACACTTTTTTCACACTTAAGCTTTAAAATAATCCATCGGGGGCCAAAATTGTGTAACAGTCACGAGAAGTCCCGAGGAACACCTCAAACACCTCGGGAGGGACCAATGTAAGTTGTGGAAACTTACGGAACTAGCTCGGGACTCCCGGTTTGAAAACTATGTCAAAAAATGAACTTTCAATCACTTAAGCTTGAAAATAGGCCATTCGAGGTCAAAATCGTGTAACAGTCACGAGAAGGACCAGGGAACACCTCCAACACCTCAGGAGGGACTAAACATAAGCTGTGGAAATTTACGGAACTAGTACAGGACTCCTGGTTTGAAAACTAAGTCACAAAATTCATTTTTTTCACATTTATGCTTAAGAATAGGCCATCGGGGGCCAAAATTGTGTAACAATCATGAGAAGGCCTGGGAAACACCACCAACACCTCGAGAGGGACCAACATAAGTTTTGAAAATTTACGGAACTAGCACGGGACTTCCGATTTGAAAACTAAGTCGAAAAAGTTATTTTTTTCACATTTAAGTTTGAAAATAGGCCATCGGGGGCCAAAATCATGCAACAGTCACGAGAAAGACCGGGGAACACCTCAAACACATCGGGAGGGACCAATGTAAGTTGTGAAAACTTATGGAACTAGTACAGGACTCCCGATTTGAAAACTAAGTCGAAAAAGATAATTTTTTCGCACTTACGCTTAAAAATAGGCCATCGGGGGCAAAAAACGTGTAACAGTCACGAAAAGGCCCAAAGAATACCTCAAACACCTCGGGAGGAACCAATGTGAGTTGTGGAAACTTACGGAATTGGCACGGGACTTCCGGTTTGAAAACTAAGTCGAAACCGACACTTTTTTCACGCATCAGCATGAAAATAGGCATCGATGTGCCAAAATCGTGTAACAGTCATGGGAAGGCCCGACTACACCTCAAACACCTCGGGAGGAAACAATGCAAGTTATTGATAATACGGAACTAGCACGGGACTCCCGGTTTTAAAAGTGTAAGTCCAAAAATTCACTTTTTTCGCATTTAAGCTTGAAAATAGGCCGTCGATGGCCAAAATTGTATAACAGTCACGAGAAGGCCCAGGGAACATCTCAAACTCCTCGGGAGGGACCAATGTCAGTAGGGAAAACTTATGCAAATAGCACAGGATTCCCAGTTGGAAATCTAAGTCGAAAAATGCACTTTTTTCACACTTACGGTTGAAAATAGGCCATCGGGGGCCAAAATCGTGTAACAGTCACGAGAAGGCACGGGGAACACCTCAAATACCTCCAGAGGGACCAATGTAAGCTGTGGAAACTTACGGAACTAGCACAGGACTCCCGGTTTGAAAACTAAGTCCAAAATGACAAATTTCTCACACTTAAGTTTGAAAATAGGCCATCAGGGGCCAAAATAGTCTAATAGTCACGAGAAGGCCCAGGGAACACATCAAACATCTCGGGAGGGACCAATGTAAGTTGTGAAAACTTACGGAACTAGCATGGAACTTTTGATTTGAAAACTAAGTCAAAAAAGTCACTTTTTTCACATTTAAGCTTGAAAATAGGTCATCGAGGGCCAAAATTGTGTAACAATCACGAGAAGCCCCCCGGGAACACCTCAACATCTCAGAATGGACCAATGTAAGCTGTGGAAACTTACGGAACTAGTACAGGACTCCCGGTTTGAAAACTAAGTCCAAAACGACAAATTTCTCACACTTAAGTTTGAAAATAGGCCATCAGGGGCCAAAATAGTCTAATAGTCACGAGAAGGCCCAGGGAACACATTAAACATCTCGGGAGGGACCAATGTAAGTTGTGAAAACTTACGGAACTAGTACGGAACTTTCGGTTTGAAAACTAAGTCAAAAAAGTCACTTTTTTCACATTTAAGCTTGAAAATAGGTCATCAAGGGCCAAAATTGTGTAACAATCACGAGAAGCCCCGGGAACACCTCAAACACCTCAGAATGGACCAATATAAGTTATGGAAACTTACGGAACTAGCACGAGACTCCTGGTTTGTAAACAAAGTCAAAAAATGCACTTTTCAAACACTTAAGGTTGAAAACAAGCCATCGGGGGCAAAAATTGTGTAATTGTCACGAGAAGGCCCAGGCAAAACCTCAAACACCTCGATAGGGACAAATGTACATTGTAGAAACTAATGGAACTGGCACGGGACTCTTGGTTTGAAAACTAAGTCAAAAATGCACTTTTTTCACACTTAAGCTTAAAAATAGGCCATCGGGGGCCAAAATCGTGGAAAATTTGAAGGCCCCGAAAACACATCAAACACCTCATGAGGGACCAATGTAAGTTGGGAAAATTTATGGAACTAGCACGGGACTTCCAGATTGAAAACTAAGTCGAAAAAGGCCCATTTTTCACACTTAAGCTTGAAAATAGGCCATTAGGGGCCAAAATTGTGTAACTGTCTTGAGAAGGCCTAGGGAACCTCAAACACCTCGGGAGGGACCAATGTAAGTTGTGGAAACTTACGGAACTAGCACGGGGCTCCCGATTTGAAATCTAAGTAAAAAAATGCACTTTTTTCACACTTAAGCTTGAAAATAGGCCATCAGTGGCCAAAATCGAGTAACAGTCACAAGAAGGCTCGGGGAACACCTCAAACACCTCAGGAGGGACCAATGTAAATTGTGAAAACTTACGGAACTAGCACGGGACTCCCGATTTGAAAACTAGGTTAAAAAATGCATTTTTTTCACACTTGAGGTTGAAAATAGGCCGTCGGGGCCAAAATTGTGTAACAGTCACGAGAAGGTTCAGGGAACATCTCAAACACCTCAAAACGGACCAATGTAAATTGTGGAAACTTATAGAACTAACACGGGACTCCCTGTTTGAAAACTAAGTCGAAAAAGGCACTTTTTCACACTTAAACTTGAAAATAGGCCGTCAACGGGCGAAAATCGATTAACGGTCATGAGAAGGCCCGATGAACAACTCAAACACCTCGAACACCTCGGGAGGGACCAATGTAAGTTGTAGAAACTTACAGAACTAGAATGGGACTCCCGGTTTGAAGACTAAGTCAAAAAATGCACTTTTTTCACACTTAAGCTTGAAAATAGACCTTCGTGGGCCAAAATCGTGTAACAGTCACGAAAAGGCCCGGGAAACACCTCAAACACCTCGAGATGGACCAATGTAAGTTGTAGAAACTTACGGAACTGGCACGGGACTACCGGTTTGAAAATTAAAATCAAAAAATGCCATTTTTTCACATTTAAGGTTGAAAATATGCCATCGGGGGCCAAAATCGGGTAAAGTCACGAGAAGGCCCGGACCTCGAGAGGGAGCAATGTAAGCTTTGGAAACCTACGAAACTAGTACGAGACTCTCAGTTTGAAAACAAAGTCTAAAAAGGCACTTTATTCACACTTAAGCTTGACAATAGGTTATCGAGGGCCAAAATCGGGTAACAGTCACGAGAAGGCTCATGAGAAACATCAAACACCTCGAGAGGGACCAATACAAGTAGTGACACGAGACTTTCCGCTTGAAAACTAAGTCAAAAAATGCACTTTTTTCACACTAAAGCTTGAAAATAGGCCATCAGGTGCCCAAAATTGTGTAATAGTCACGAGAACCCCAGCGGAACACCTCAAACACCTCAAGAAGAACCAATGTAAGTTGTGAAAACTTACAGAACTGGCACGGGACTTCCGGCTTGTAAACTAAGTCAAAAAATGTACTTTTTCACAATTAAGGTTGAAAATAGGCCATCGGGGGCCAAAATTGTGTAACTGTCACTAGAACCCCCACGAAACACCCCAAATACCTCGAGATGGACCAATGTAAGTTGTGGAAACTTACAGAACTAGCATGAGAGTCCCGGTTTGAAAACTAGGTCGAAAAATGCACTTTTTTCACACTTGAGCTTGAAAAAAGGCCATCGGGGGCCAATATCGTGTAACAGTCAGGAGAAAGCCTGGGGAATACCTCAAACACCTTGACAGGGACCAATTTAAGTTGTGAAAATATACGGAATAGGCACGGGGCTCTCGGTTT